ACATGGAAGTTTAACATTGTATGACAGTCTCCTCCTTGAAGTGAATGAATGAAAACCTATTTTCCTCAAGTAGATCAATGATTTAGCCTCCTGGTCTGTTTGCATTCCCTAAATACCTTGCATCTGGAATGCTCCACCAAGGGAAAATCATTTGACTGATATTATTTCTTATTTCAGATCTCAATTAAAGACTTCCCTCTTTGTTTGGATTCTTTTTAAGAGAGGCTTCCTTGATTTCGTTATTTTAAAGAATAATGTTATATGGGGTTGGTCCTCTGGACAGTAATAAACTATGACAAAAGTATTTTGGTCATGTTTTGAAAAAGATCTCTGAACCAAGTAATGGTCAGAACCATTCATTTATTTGACATGACTGCATTTATCTCATTCACATTTCAATATGAGGTTGCAGCAAGGTTTTCAGATATGTTGCAAAGAAGATTTGAAGGACACTTTCTCTATGCTGGTAAGTTTCTTTGCAAATTTCACTGCTCTGCTCTTTTCACCTGTACATGTCAAGCTTAAACAACAATCTAAATGTTTTCATAATAAGCATATGGCCACAGCAATTCCCTTGTAAAGAGTTCTCTGATTATTTTAGTTAGGTTCATTTTTTTAAAAAGCAGTATGCACATTTTTAAAGAAGGGATCTCAGCATTTTTGGTTTAGCTGCAGTGAAGAAGGTGAAATATTGCTGTTGTTTTTTTAAGATTCTAAGACAAAAAGTAATTTACAAATGATTTTTATGATGCTACTAGATATTTGTGACATATAATTCACACATTTTGTTGGAAATAGGAATAAATTACATGCAATAGATTACTGTATCTTGGAGTGATTGAAAGTTTGTTTACTACCAACTTCGTTTTGATGCTGCTGCTTTGCATTCAAATCTATACTATATAAATCCTATTTTAAACACAAATCAAATAATTTCAAGATGGAAATAGATTGAAAATAATCAAATTAAGCAGCATATATTATAGTAGGGCATGTATCATCCAATGTGTGTCCATAAAAACCCACCATCCTCAACAACAGAAAAAAACAATAACTCCAAAACCCCAAACCCAGTGAGCAGTTATAAGAAATGGTTACCAAAAGAAAAGGAGATGTAATGTATTGTTTGTACCAAAGTTTCTGAGTATCAAGGCAGAGGCAATAGATCTAATTCAGACAACAATCCTTACACAAGGATTTTCCAGATGAGTTTTACTTGATGGGTTAAAATAACTGAAATGCCCATCTACCTTACCAACGTGCTTTTGAAACCCACCCTTAACATAATGAAGTCCATTGTAGCTCCTTCCCCCCGATAGGAAAGAAAACACGTGTCGGTAAATGGGGTGAGGATCTGGTTTAATTCAACGCAAGGGCAGAGCCTTCTCTGCACTCTCGCTGGGAGTTTACACATCATGCGCTGGTGGCGCGGTCTGTTTCCAACAGGGGATATTTTGGGGTGGGGGAGGGGAGGGGGTTGTGTTTAAAGTCCAGCTAACTGCGAAGACCAAGCCGCCGCCGCCTTTGCGGGTCCCGCAGCAGTTCGTGGAGCATTTCAAACCAACACACACACACTCCGCGAGCATGTGGCCAGGGCGGAGTTGCTGGTGCAGACACTTTTCCAAAGGGCCACGCGCTGCTGGGAGCGGTTCTCCGAAGGAAGCGCTCGGTGGCGGGCAGATTTTGCGCACAAGTCCCCGGCCTCCTCCCCTCCCCTCCCCCTGGGGGGGGGGGGGGGGG